CTAGATTTTTTGTAAAATACTTATTTTATTCCATATTTTCGTATGGCCTGATTTTTAGCATTTTGTCATTTTTGGTAAAATTCGAATTTTTGACTATAAAGTCCAGCTTGTGGACTTATGTTCATTATTGCGTGATATAAATACGTTTTCTCTGTGTTTTTAAGCGTTAATCTTGTATTCTTCCCTGTGAAATTGTTGGTGGAACTAGCCTGCAGAATAATCACTATTATGTCCGGCGTCATGAATGCTTTAACAATTAAGTTACTTGTATAGAAATTATTTACACCTTTGTTGACAGATGATGAGGTGTTATACATTCATCTGTCAACAAAGGTGTAAAAAAATGTACAAGTAGCAAAGTCCATGTTTCAATCAGCCAAATGGTGCCGCATACATCCCCTGCCACGTGTGCATATTTTAACCTTTCAACATGGGACAAGTAATGTCGAGATGGACGGAAAAAATAATAAAAAGGACAAAACGAAGAGGAATATATAGAAACGTCCTCCTAAGTTTAGCTGGGGAAACTTGTAATTCCCATTGGGTGCTACCATCCAAAATCAACCTCTTTTACACAGCTCATAAATATCATAAGACTAAAAAGGCACACCACAGATTAAGAAGAAATGGCAGATAATAAGCCTCATATTATAGTCTTCCCTTTCCCTGCACAAGGTCATATAAATCCAGCACTGGAATTCTCCAAGCGCCTAGCCTCAAATGGACTAAAAGTGACCATTATTTTAACCTCTATGGTAAGCAAATCTGCACGATTTCTGTCGAACACCACAATCGAAGTTGAAACTATCTCCGATGGTACGGAAGAAGTTAAAGAACAAGAGAGTGTAGAAGGCTTCTTCAAGCGGTTCAAAGAAAAAGCTTCACAGAACTTGGCCAAGTTCATTCAGGAACAAAGAGAAACTTGCCCGGCTAAAGTTCTGGTGTACGACTCGACCATGCCATGGGCTTTGGATGTAGCACACCAGGAAGGCCTACTTGGAGCTTCATTTTTCACACAGGCTAGTGGTGTGTGTGCTGTCTACTATCATATATATACAGGGTTGATAAAATTTCCTTATCAAGATTCGGAGATAGTGTTGCCTTCCATGATTCCACTAGGTGTAGATGATTTGCCTTGTTTTTCGTTTCTACCTGATGCAGAGAATGCCATTTTTAGGCAACTAACTAATCAATTCTCAAATCTCGAGGAAGCAGATTGGATCTTTATCAACACTTTCGACAAGCTGGAAAATGAGGTAACGAAAATTAATGAAATGCCATAATCAGGTTTCCTTTGATCTCTTACAAACGTTGCCATGTTCGTTTCAGGTACTTAACTGGATGACAAGCCGGTGGCCATTTAAGACTGTTGGACCAATTTTTTCATTAACATACCCAGGAAAGGAACTTGCCAACAAAAATACTTATAAGATTGATCTATTTGAACCAAATTATGAAGAAAGCATGAAATGGCTAGATTCAAGAGAAACTGGTTCTGTTGTTTATGTCTCATTTGGAAGTGTGGCCAGCCTCGAAGAAGAACAAATGGAAGAACTATCACATGGCCTAATGATGAGCAATTGCTATTTCTTATGGGTAGTTCGAGCTTCAGAAGAGAATAAACTTCCAAAAAACTTCATTTCAATGGTATCCGAAAAAGGTCTAGTGGTGAATTGGTGTCCCCAAACTGAAGTCTTGTCACATCGGGCCGTTGCTTGCTTTATGACACACTGTGGTTGGAACTCTACACTCGAAGCATTGAGTTCAGGGGTTCCTTTTATAGCCATGGGACAGTGGGTAGACCAAACGACTAATGCGAAACTTATTGAGGATGAATTTAAAGTAGGGGTACGTGTTAAACCCGATGAAAAGGGGTTGGTTAGTAGAGAAGAAATTGGAATGTGTATAAAAGAAGTTATTCAAGGAGAAAAAGGGAGGAAGCTCAAAGAAAGTGCCGATAAGTGGAAGGAATTGGCTAAAGAGGCTGGAGATAAAGGTGGAAGTTCTGCTACGAACGTCGAAGATTTTATTTCGGAACTTTTGACTTTGTAACTTATGCTCCACAGAAAGTAGCGAATCAATGGCAAAATTGGAAAAGTGTTAAAATTTATGTTTGCTGATGCCAACATAGGTCATTCATGAAGCAATAATTAATGTGGCACATGTGAGCAAATTCGTCTATGTAACTTCGTAATCATCCATTAATTGATGGATACAATGTTATATGTCTCTTTCTTGATACCTATTGTCGTATCTATGTAAAATTCCATTCATGCCGCAACCTATTATTTTCTGGTTAAAATATTAAAGAAAGAGATCTAATTTGCTCACCAAGAATTTTCAACGTCCTAGAAATCCGATAAGACACGTGGTTCAATTAGAGAAATTGGCAATGAACCCCACTTACTCTCATTATAATAAATCAATAATGTTGTCTAACACCAGTGGTGTTTAACATCCGTCCAAAAGAGATGTTTAATTAAATACAATGATTTATGTCATGTTTAATGGAATGTATAATATGTTGACACATTAACTGATGTTTAACACTACTTATGATATATAGAATTATTAATAATAAATACCATCAATAACAATCCAGACCAAACGGCTCAAACTTGAACAACTAGCAACTTCAACTAGAAACCATCCCATTGAATTCTCCTACTTATTGTCAAGATCGAGTTTAAAAACTATGTTAATTTGGAAGTATCGTAGATCATGAAATCTCCCCATCCCTTATTGCCACCCTTCCTACGTCATATATAACAGCAGCCGTGTGTCCATTCTAACAAAAACCATTATCCTAAGTACGACATGGTTGGAAGAAATGATGGAATTTTGCTCAGTTTTAGCAGAAATACAACAGAATCACTGTTTTGAATTGCACGGTCGACCATGAAAGATGCGTGCTAGCAAAGTCCATTCGTCGTGCCACCGGTCAAGTCAAGCATTCGGGCATTTACGAGCCCTTCTTCAAACTGCAAAAATTATCATATTTGATTTTTCCTAATGTCTATTAAGTACACAAATCTATTTACATAACAAGATCAGAAGGGTAAAAAAAAAAGAAACTAACCAATTATCTAGTTTGACATCCAAGGATCTTGCATATACAAGAATACAAAGTTCTGTTTTGATAGGCAATAAGTGGCATCTGAATAGAAAATTTTATGACAAAGTTCAACCAAATGATGCTACTAAAACTGACAAATTACCAAATGCAGGTGGAATATACAGTTAGCAGATCTCCTACCCACAGTGGGCAATTTCTCACTATTGAAATGGTAAGAGAACCTTACTTATGTCTATTTGAAACAATCATACATTTAGAAAATCATTCTTACGATTCTCTCTATCACATTAACGTTCTGGAGATTTTATCATACCCACTGGGGGCATGAGATCAATTCTATACAATTTAGATGCATCTATTCTTGTACATGGTTGTACACTTACCCCCAACATAAAAATATCATGAATGCATGTTAAAGAAAAAAGAATATCCGATTTAATCACCTCATGAAAAAAATCTAACCAAATATTGTACAGTAACATATTAAGTTAAAATACATGGACCGCTGTCAATAACATAAAAATCAAAGCAGAAAACACATGAAAACTATAGCATACATGAAACAAAGTAGAAAGAAATGTCAACGTTCTTCCAAAGCCAAGAATGATAGCTACACCCATCAGTAATGGGCACCTGGATTGAGATTATCTTATCTCATGAGGAAAGACCGGCATCACATTCAAAAAGAAACAACAAAACTAAGAAACCTCAAATTGTTTAAGCTATAAAATAAGAAAAAACAGTACACATGATCTTCTCTAACTGATAATGTCTGCGAAATTCTACCAACTTCAACATCAAAGCACTTGTACATTATCTTGTTCCAGTACATTCACTCGGAAGCAGCATGAAATTCTACACAAGGTTATGTGGGGGTATGGTACTTTTGGGCTTGCAATTGCACAGAAACA